TACATGCATATGGCATAACTTTTTGTTTTGAGGAAGTGAGACAGTTTAGGAAAAAAGATCACCTTTCTTTATATCCCACAGCCATTATGTTTTTAATTTTGATTCAGACACTTCTGATTTATTAAGAACCTACGTAACGTTTATGGGGGAGGAACAATTTAGAAAAGGAGAGCGAGAACAACTGTCCAACTTGAAGAATGTAATCAATGTCACTGAACTGTACATGTAGAAATTGTTGAATAGGTATATGTTCTGCTGTGTATATTCTCAACAACAGTAAGAAAAAATAAATTATTAAAACAATTAAAGAAGAACCTACCTAGCATGTGAATTACAGCATAGATTTCCTGTTAGGATGTGTTATACCCTCCCCCTTCTCTAGTCTCTCTGTTTCGCTAGTGTTATAAGAGAGATTTTCTAGACATGAGGCAAAAATCAAATTTTCTGAAGATAAGGAAAAATTGCTTCTTAAGTATAGTTGAATAAATCTCTACAGGATGAGAAACATCGTGCTCTGTGGAATTAAATGAGAGTCAGTAAGGTTTCTGGTGGTCCTAAGAGTTACACAGTATGACAAACAATCTGAAGCCCTGCACAGGCCCCAAGGCCAGCCCTGTTTCTTTCAGCTTTGGTCGTTGTCCCATTGGGACTTCTGTTGAACTCACTGGAGAACCATTGACAAGCTAATGAATTCACTCTGAGACAGCAGAAAAGAGCTCAGGGACGCAGCTCTTTCAGTGAAGAGCACCAAGATGTCCTTAGGAGTTCACTCTTCTTAATTTAATGGAGTTGCATACATTTCGACAAGCTGAGGTTGTATTGGACACTTATTTTTCAAGGAGAGTGCTACCTAATTTCAAGACGCTTCCTACATCTGCTTTGTGGCGAGAAATGGAGTTGTCATCTACTTTTTAAGTAAACAGTGATCCCAAATTAAGAGGATTGAAAGCCAGGGAAACTCAATTAAATGCTACCATTTTTCTTAAATCTGTGTAACTCAGTCCGCCTTTTTCTCTGATTTGGTCTGTATTTTATTTTGCTGTTTGTCCTTCTAGCCCTAGTTTTTATTCTATACATTTAATCTATGTTTAAGGTTTTACAAAGACTATTTGTGGAGGAAAGGGAAGACCTAATTATGCATGAGGTTTTATATATATATAATTTCATTTAATCTTCAAAGAGTCCTATGAGGGAATAACTATTAATGCTTGACAAATGAGGAATCTGAGTTTCAGGGAAATTGAGGAACTGGTCCAAATCAGACAGCTAATAATTACAAAACCTAGAGTAGGATTAGACCAGTCTGACCCACAAAATTAAGACTTTCTCACAACATGGATAAATCTGGAGGACATTACGCTGAGTGAAACAAGTCAATCACAAAAGGACAAATACTGTATGAGACCACTATCATAAGAACACGTGAAAATATTGCCACACAGAAAGAAACAATCTTTGATGGTTACAAGGGTGGGGAGGGAAAAACACTACATACATAGTAGATAAGTGGTAACTTTGGTGAAGGGTAAGACAGTACACAATACTGGGGAAGTCAGCACAGCTTGAACTGGGCAAAGTCATAGAAGCTTCGCAGACAAATCCAAATGCCCTGAGAGACCGAGATACTGGGCTGAGGGCTGGGGACCATAGTCTTGGGGAATATCTAGCTCAATTGGCATAACATAGTCTATAAGGAAATTGTTCTACAACTGATTGTGGTGAGTAGTGTCTGGGGTCTTAACAGCCTGTGAGTGGCCATTTAAGACACGTCTACTGATCCCATCCTGGCTGGAACAAAGCAGAATAAAGAAGACCGAAGGCACAAGGGAAAGATTAGTCCAGAGGACTAGTGAACCACAACTACCATCACCTCCACCAG